CATCCCTCCTGGTTAAATTTATTTCACATTTCTTTTGTATTCAGTTAACATAAACCTATTAGGAAAACTGACACATGGGGATGGCTGTATAGGAAGGATATTTTTAAAGTATTTTGATTAAAAAATGAAATTATAGAGCCATGGCTTTTGAGTTGTGTAATCTTTTTTGGTTTTTAAATATGTCACAAAGCCTAAGTCCTACATTTACTAGTATATCTTTCAAGTCTGTGTGTGATATAAATAATGGGAATTAAAACTTATACAATATTTTGATATTTGAGGTCTACCGTCATTTATTTAGAGCAATAAGCACATTTATGGTTTCCAACATTTTTTTTTTAAAAAGAGTTATTTAATCCACTTAAACCTATAAAAAAAAAAGTCCTCCTTAAAAGAAAAAATATTTATACTACATTTCTAAAATAGATTCTGGTGTCTAGATTTAGCTGGTTATTATTTTTAGAATAATAATAGCTGCCTATATCTTATAATCCATCAAAGTATCTGAGAAGACATTTCTTGTTTAGTAATACAAATTTTAAAGTTCAGGAATTTACCTTGTATTCTCAAATACTTAACATCCATAGTGATTAGGATTTTCTAGATAGATTAGTATTAGGGACTTTAAGAACAATTGGAGTTCTGTGGTGTGACTCGTAGGCTCCGCTGATCTGCCATGTCACAGTTTTTCAGCATCAGTTGTTCCTGTTCAGGGAGGAGCTTGTCACCAAACCTGTCAGGCTTAACTACCACAAACAGCCATTGTTGCTGAGTGAAGATGAAGAAGATATCAAGAGAGTGGTTCGAAGTGCCAAGGACTACAGGTTTGAGGAGTTGACCAACCTTATCAGACCCTTGGTAATGCCATGAAGATTCAGGATGTCACTAAGTGCCTGGAAGAGTTTGAGCTCCTGGCAAAAGCATATGGGAAGGCTAAAAGCATTGTGGATAAGAAAGGTGTCCCCATTTCTATATCCGTATCCTGGCTGATTTAAGTGACTATCTTAATGAGTTATGGAAAGATAAGGAAGGGAAGAAGAAGATGAATAAGAACAATGCTAAGGCCTTGAGCACCCTGCTCCAGAGGATCCAAAAACACACTAAGATTTTGAGTCCCTTATTACAGATTATAAGCAGAACCCTGAACAGTCTGTAGATGAAGATGCTGAGAAGAAAGGATTCAAAAGGCTCTTCAGATAGGGATGAAGACAGAGTCAGTGCTGCAGCTTTCTTGAAGAAGAAGCCAGAAGCTCCTTCTGGAGAGAGTCAAAGTTTCTAAAAAAGATGGAGATAAAGATGAGGACTCGAGAGGATGAAGGGTGGGATACAGGTTCAACGTCTTCTGACTCAGAGGAGGAGGAGGAGGAAGGGAAACAGACCATGTTGGCCTCGAGATTCCTTAAAACAGCTCTGGCCACAGAGGAGGACAAGAAGGCTACTGAGAAGAAATGGGAGGACAAAGCCAAGAAGCAGCACGATAGGAAATCAAAGCTCCTGGATGAGGAGGAGGACAGTGAATGTGGGGAGTGGGAAAGGGTCCGAGATGGAGTATGCTCATTAAGGAGAAACCAAAAATGTTTGCCAGAGGAACGGAGATCATCCATCCACACTGTTGTTATCAAGAAACTGAATGAGATCCTACAGGTACAAGGCAAGAAGGGAACTGATTGTGCAACCCACATTGAGCTGCTACAGCTATTGGTTCAGATTGCTTCTGAAAACAACCTTGGGGAGGATGTCATCATCAAAACCAAGTTCTCTCTATGACTACAATGCCAGCCTGGCCACATTCATGAAGCCTTGACTGCATCAATGAGCTGATGGACATCCTGTTTGCAAAAGCTAACATCTTTGTTGAAGAGAACATTCTGAAAGAGAGTGAAAAGCCACATAATGTTGACCAGCCACTGTGTGTTTATGGCTGTATCCTAACTCTGGTGGAATGAATGAATGAAGAATTTACCAAAATAATGCAAAATACTGATCCTCATTCCAAAGAGTATGTGGAGCACCTGAAGGATGAGGCACAGGTATATTCCAATCATTGAGCTTGTGCAGCGCTACCTGGAAGAGAAGGGCACCACTGAGGAGATCTGTCATGTCTGCTTGAGGTGCATTCTGCACACCTTCTGCAAGTTTAATTATAAGGCCCATCAGCAGCAGCTTACCTTCCCTAAGGGCTCCTCAAAGTCCAACCAAGATTAAGCAAAAAATGAGGGCAAGGACTCAGCTGTGCTAATGGAGAGACTTCTCAAGTACATCTATGCCAAAAACTGCAGACTGCACGTGCGCCATCCTCTGCCATATCTCCCACTGGTACCAGGTCCACGACTTCATGCTATGAGACACCTACAAGACAGCATTCACAAAAAGTTAAAAAAACAACAACAAAAAAGACAGCACACAGTGAGTCCAGTACAGATCCTGTAAAGCCGCACCATGGAACAGCTGTGCATCTGTGCCTTCCACCAAGGACTGTGCAATGATGCTCACAGTGCCCTGCTGGACATCCAGTCAAGGAGTCAGGCCCAGAAACTTCTGGGCCAGGGTCTCTACTACACCGCCTAAAGGAGCCCAGCCAGGAGTGGGAGAAGGTGGAGTGGCACCAGCAGGTGCCCTTTCACCTGCACATCAACCTGGAGCTGCCGGAGTGTGTTTACGTGGTGTCTGCCATGCTCCTGGAGATCCCCTACATGGCCGCCCAACAGGGTGATGCCCGCCAACATATGATCAGCAAGCAGTTCCATTACCAGCTGCGAGTGGGCCAATGACAGCCCTTCCTGGATCCCCCTGAATCAATGAAGATGGGCGACTGGAAGACCTTCAATGAGAAGATAAAGTCCCCAAAGTATGGGGACCTTGTCTTTGAGGCCAACAAAGTCTGAATCATACTGGTTAGGAAGATCCAGGAAAAGTCACTGCAGACCTGCTTTACCTACAGCAGTATCTATGACTACATCAGCATGGAGACACTGGTTAGGCTGAACCTGCCCACTGTGCACACCATCACTAGCAAGATGATTATTAATGAAGTGTTGATGGCCTCCTTGAACCAGCCAACACGGAGCCCAGTGCCCAACATGACCTGGCTCTGTAAGCTGGTGGAGAAGCTGAGCAGCCTTGTAGAAAGCAATGAGTGGAGTTTGACCACAAGCAGGGTACCTGTGGTGGCTACTTCTGAGACCAGAAGGATGGCTACTGCAAAAACAAAGGCTACGTGCACTGAGGTGGCTACTGCCAGCAGCAGTCTCAGGCAGCCTACTGACCACTTCTGTCCCCATGGCCTAGACCAGTGGTCGGCAAACTGCGGCTCGCAAGCCACATGCGGCTCTTTGGCCCCTTGAGTGTGGCTCTTCCACAAAATACCACATGCGGGCGGGCACGTACAGTGCAATTGAAATTTCGTGGCCCATGCACAGAAGTCGGTATTTTGTGGAAGAGCCACACTCAAGGGGCCAAAGAGCCGCATGTGGCTCGTGAGCCGCAGTTCCATTCAACAATCTTTAAATCCTAAACCACACCCCAGTCATTAAAGATCTGTTTAGACTTTTAAAAAACAAAACAAAACATTAAAACACTGATTCTTGGCTTTTTTTTTTGTATTGCCTACTCTTACTTTGATAGACTCTCTACTCAGAAAAATGTATAAAATTTTACAGATAACTTTCAAATATTCACAGAGCCTTTGAACCTAGGTTAAGAACTCCAGGGAGCCTTTCATTAATTGGACTTAACTCCTTTCTTTAAATTACACAGTTAACTCTTTTTCTACCCTGTGGTGTTTAAGCCAAAAAAAGCATATTTCAGAAATAGAAATAGCTCATACTAAAAATGTAAATACTAATGACACTTATTCTAGTTTTTTGCTTTCAGACTTTCCCAACTACAATATGTCCACTTACCTGAAAGTAATAGGTTCGTGTGAGATGTGACTCAAAAATGGACTCAAATGTTTGCAATGGCAGAATCAATAAACGTGCTAAGATAACCAAAGTTCGTTTTAAAATGCATGTCCATAGAGTAATCTCTATGAAGAACATGCAAGACTAATGGGTATTAGGTTCATTTTTCTAATAACTTACAGAAATTCAACTTAGGGGTACTGTGCTTTTTATAAATTTAATCACAATATGATCTCTCTTTGATTGCCAAAAACATCTTAGTAAGCATCACAAATATTTAAATAACATATTGAGAGTCTACCAACTCTAAAGAAGTCTATTTGGATGAATTTCATAGGCATAGTTTCATAGACAAAGAAAACCTGGAAATAAATTTGTTAAACCAGATATAGTCAACTTTTTCATACTTAATAGGTGATTACCCAATTTATGATCTATTTCTTTTACTTCTCTAACTGTTACCTCTTTTAGACCAGTTCACTGCTTATTAGCACTTCCAGAGAATGATTTAAAAAAACGAATCTTAGTCACTTTTTATTTTATTTTAATTTTTATTGATTTCAGAGAGAAAGGGAGAGGGAGAGAGAGCCATAAAAACATCAATGAGAGAATCATTGATCAGCTGCCTCCTGCACGCCCCCTGCTGGGGAACGAATCCGCAACGCAGACATGTGCCCAGAATAGGAATGGAATCGTGACCTGGTTCATAGGTTGATGCTCAACCACTGAGCCAAGCCAGCTGGGCTAAATCAATCACTTTAAAAACAATCTTTTAAACGATCTTTTAAAAAGTTTGGTAGTGGAGAATTGGTGCAATTGCTAGTTAAGGAGAGTATTTGGAATGTATATGAATCTTTTTTATCTAAGTTCTCTGTTTCCCATTAACTATAGATCATTAAAAACTATCTGGTTTTCTGTAGTGTCACCTGATGTCTTTGAATGTTTGTGTTTCAAGTGTTGTAAAAAATGGTCAAATGAAATTTTTAAAATATGGTTTTTTATTTATTTACCTTTTCATCTTTTTATAGTATGTTAGCAGTAGTTATATAAATACAGAGCTTTTCTAAAGCACTCTGAACTATTTTCTTGGTTTTCTAGTTGAGACATTTAGGAAATGATGAAGTACACATTGTTTGGTCAGAGCATACTCGAGACTACAGAAGAGGAATTATTCCTACAGAATTTGGTGATGTCCTTATTGTAATATATCCAATGAAAAATCACATGTTCAGTATCCAGATAATGAAAAAACCAGAGGTAAGAACTTCTTATCTTACATTTTAGTAATATATTTTGAGTTCTATATATGGTTTTGTTTCTTCTTTTAGAAGGATTTAGACTAGACATCAAGGTGTAAATGGTGGGAAATGAGACCAACTCTGGTAGCTATGTGAATTGTCTTAGTCTGGTTCAGAAGGAGCTAAAACAGGAAAAGTAGCAAGAAACTATGTTCAAAAGGGAGAAAGCTTGGTTATGCCAGAGTGCAAGTTCTTTTATGCTAAGCTAACAAAAGGGCTTACCTTTTATTGAAAGAATGATTACTATTTCCTAAAAGACACAGTCAGAAGTAATAATTTCCTTTATAACTAGAACATATGATTCCTGTATTTTTAGTTGACATATCTTATTAAGATTATGTGATTATTTAGTTATGTCACTTAATAAGTTAGAGTACTAAAACTATGTGTTCTAAAAAGTGTGTTTTTTAAAGCCAAGTAAGTTGTTCTAGTTGGATGTGTTATACTGTGGGATTGAAACATACCTGTGTAAGTATTTTCCTTCAAAATAATAAATGTTTGGTAGTATTTTCATGTTTCTTACTTTTTTAATTTAATACTTTTAGTTTATAGAAAACTTACTTTTTGACATTTGATCATGAATCTTAAAAATTCCTTTAATTCCCTATGTGTGAATTTAAGCTAATGGCCAGATTTTATAAGGTTCATCTAAACCAGAGGTCAGCAAACTATGGCCCACTTTCTATTTTTGTATAGCCCACAAGCTAAGGATGTTTTCTACATTTTAATGTGTGTTTTTTTTAAATTGAAAAATAATATGCAGCAGAGACAATATGTGGTCATAAGCTTAAAATATTTACTATATTATTCACAGCTCATGTGCTTGCCTTCAGCTGCTATTTGTACCTACCATAGTCAAATAGAATAACTTGAAATTGTCAGTCATGTGATAAAAATTACAATTATCAAAACAAAGATTTTTCTAAGAAATTCTGTAATAGAAATGTTTCAGGTTTTGTAATAAAGCTGGGTATGACACAAACATAATTTTTAAAAAATTAACTTGCTGCCTATAAGAACGTATACCTTGCCTGTGTTTACTCATGGAGAAAGAGGAATTTATTTCCAGTGTTGAATTTTTTGGTACAATTGAGGCTACAAAAATTTGAAAGTTGGCAGGGAATATAAATTTTTTAGTCTGTTACATGAAGTAAACAGCTCTTTTGAATGAAACCATGTAGGCCTTTTGCATTTCTTGTTTATTGTTCTAGTGTGAATGACCCATCATGGAAAATAATTGAATTTGAATAGTATTTCTACTGAAGAAAGAACTAAAGGGAAAGCAGAAACATTTTTGTATGCAGTGTCTTGATTGTTCTTACATAAACCTTTCTTCAATTTTAGTATAAAATTATGTTCTAATTTTTCAATTAGGTTCCCTTCTTTGGCCCACTTTTTGATGGTGCTATTGTGAATGGAAAGGTCCTACCCATTATGGTTCGAGCAACAGCTATAAATGCAAGCCGTGCTCTGAAATCACTGATTCCACTGTATCAAAACTTGTATCCTTTTTAATATATGGTTTTTATTCTAATATTTGTCTACTTTCCAAGGTAAATGTTTCTTCTGTTTTTAAGACCTTTGAATTTCTGTTTACTGATATATAGGTGGTAGAGTTCCTCCCCAGTATTTGAATTTGAGCACTTACGATAGTTGAATGGGGTAATTTATTTTATATATTTTTAAGTCAGTGCTTAATTGCCTTTTGGTTAATTAATTAGAGCCCCATTATGTGCTAGGCACTCTGTTACTCTGGATGTGCAGAAATAACCAAAACAGTCATCGGAGAGTACTCAATCTAGTTAAAGAAATATACTGTTTTCTGTATATGTGCTTACATGTGCTATAGTAGTTATGCAGCATATTCTGGAAGTATCATAACAAGGGGCCTCTTATTTAGGTGAAAGGGGTTGTGGTATCAGGAAACATTTCTGAGAAATATGAGGATTGAACCAATCTTGAAGGATGATTGAGTTTTTTGGGTGGGTGAGGTTAAGAGCATTCCAGAAGCAGAGGGAACAACAGAGAGACATGGAAGTTTGCGAGGAAATTGAGTGTTTAAGAATATGGTTACTGGAGCCAGATTGCCTGGCCTCAAATGCTATATAGCTAGTCTTGGACAAGTTACTTAATCTCAGTCAGTCTTAATTTTTCATGTATATAAAATGAGAATGATAATATCTAGCTCATGGTATTATGAGAACTCAATGAAGCAATATGTGTAAAGCTCTTAGAATAGTGCCTGGGACACGATATGCATACAGTTTTAAATTTTAAATTGTTTTCTGATATTCCTTTGTAAAATAGGTTTATGTTTTCTTTTACTTTTTCTATATGATTAAAAGCATTTTATTTCTTTTTATATAATAAACTAGAGGCCGGTGCATGAATTTGTGCACGGGTGAGGTCCAGCCGCCCACCCCCTGGTCAAACACTGGTCGAACTCCTGGTCGAGGTGACAGTTTGCATATTATCCTTTTATTATATAGGATTATGGATTTAAGCTTTACAGGGAAGGTTTTTAAAAGTATTCTAGCCTTAGCTGGTTTGGCTCAGTGGATAGAGCATCAGCCTGCAGACCAAAGGGTCGAGGTTTGATTTTGGTCAAGGGTACGTACCTTGGTTGCAGGCTCCTCCTCGTCCTGGGCTCTGGTTAGGGCTCTGTTCGGGGCTTGTGCAGGAGGCCACTAATGATGTGTTTCTCTCACGTTAATATTTCTCTCTGTCTTTCCCTCTCTCTTCCACTCTATAAAAATCACTAGAAAAATATCCTCAGATGAGAATTAAAAATATATATATGCTATGTTTTTTTCCATATGAAATGGATTTATTACAAGTCTGCTGCATTTTCTTCTTTTGATGAAAATTAGCTTACATTATCTGAATTTTATAATTTCTCATGTATTCTGACACCATGAAATGGAATTATAGGTGGATCATGCCATGTTACATTGATTAACATTAATGACATTTATATAGCATTTCTTATTTACCTGGTGTGACAGTTATAGCTTCACTTTAACTTGAAAACTCAGATTTGAAGTGGTCATTGTAGTGAAATATAAGGGTTCGGTTTATTATTCCCAGAATAGCTCTACAAAAGTAATTAATCTTACAAGGAATATACAGATTATTACCCATTAACTAATTTCTCCACATTGTCAGGTCCATTGAGGTTGCCTTCTTTCTGATCTTTGCTTCTTTATAGCCCACCTGATTCTGATGTTCATCCTGAGGTTAGTGTCCTCTTCAGTTTTATTTAAAACACAGTTGAGCCCTGACCAATGTGGCTCAGTTGGTTGAGCATCGTCCCATTTACCAGGGAGGAGCCTGCAACCGAGGTATGTGCCCTTGACCCCGGTTCAGTTCCCGTTCAGTGCACCTGCCTGGGTTGTGGGCTCAATCAATCCCCAGTAGGGGCTTGCGGAAGACAGCCAATCAATGTTTCTTTTCCACATCAATGTTTCTCTCTCTCCCTCTCCCTTCCTCTCTCTAAAATCAATAAAAACATATTTTTAAAAAAAGATAGTGGAGCCCTACCCGGTTTGGCTCAGTGGATAGAGCGTCGGCCTGCGGACTCAAGGGTCCCAGGTTCGATTCCAGTCAAGGGCCTGTACCTTGGTTGCGGGCACATCCCCAGTAGGGGTGTGCAGGAGGCAGCTGATCGATGTTTCTCTCTCTTCGATGTTTCTAACTCTCTATCCCTCTCCCTTCCTCTCTGTAAAAAATCAATGAAATATATATTTTAAAAAATAAAATAAAAAAAGATAGTGGAAAGAATGCCTTAAATCTTTTGGGAAAGTGGTAAGAGAGAGATTAGATTGTAATACAAACTCTATTTGCCTCTTGTATTATATAGCTGGAACTGGATTTATTGGGCAAACACACACTATTTCTGGCCCAAGGTACAAGTAACATTTAATATGCACACTTTACAAAGTAGTTTTAAATGCAAAATTAAAAGTGTTGGGGATATGGCTTCATTTCTTTTTCCTGCACCTAAGTTCATACTCTTGAGAGCTATTTCAGATTTGCTCATTACACTAGAGGTCTGATAACTAGATTTGCAGTTAGAAAACACTGCTTTTAATTCAAGCTCTGCTTTGTGACTTTGTCGAAGTCACAGAATCTCTAAACCTCACTTTTTTCTTCTGTAAAAACATGCTAATACCCATCTCAGAATTGTTGTGAAGATTAAATGAGATAATGAATTTGGATGTACTTAGTAAATAAAATAAGGTACATTTTTGTGTGCAGTGATTAATTCTTTTATGTGTAAAGATTACAGTCAATATAAAACAACTCTTCCCAACACCATGGAATTGCCTAATTGGGTTTTTGTATTTGCTTGGTTGGTAGGTTAATTGATTGGATTGGATTTTCAAGTCTGCTTCGTGAAGTTCGTAATAGTTAAATCTTGCTGAGTCGTTAATAGATATCACATTGGAGGAAAATCTAAGATGAAGAGAGATAATTTCAGATGAAAACAGTAAACATGAACACTTTATTTACACAGTAAATATGAGCAATTTCTATCAGCAAAATCGATTCTTGAACACTCAGAGTAAAAACATTAAATAAGACAGATCAAATTTTTCTTGACTTGGAAGCTTGAATTTAGAAGCTTTATGGAAATTATTTTCCCATGCTATTAAAGTAAATAGTAGAGATATTCCTAGCCTTTGCTAATCTGAAGAACACATAGTCATATTTGACAAAGATTCACAAAATTCTATATTAATTTTAAACATTGGGAGAAAAGACTTCATACAGGTGAATTACTTGATTTTTAAGTGAAAATTTACATAATAAATTACAGTGATGTTTTATTTTAAGATTGAAATATGAGTATGTCTTTAAAATAACAAATATTTCAGAAATATATTAAATTTTAAAATGTATGTTTTTGACAAATCTCGATAAGGAAAAAAATTATGTGATCTAAAACAGATCAATAAAACTTAGAAATTGAGATAGAAGTAGGCTTTGAAAATCACCAGAGTTACTACTTTAATCCTCATAAGAGAAGTGAAAGGGTAAAATAATATGTAATAAACTCAATTATATTTGATAATTACACTGCTGTGTCACTTATTTTATGCCCAATAAAAATACCCACTAAGATTCCACAGCATAAATTGTGCTATTTATGATCATTAAATACAGTTTAAATTTTATCCTTGGAACATCTTCTGTAACTATGAATCTAATGTTGTTCACTAAATGAGGACAATATTGATTGTCAAATGCTGCCCAAATCGATCTTGCTAGCAGCTAGAATTACAGTAATGTCAGTATTGATGACTGTTTTTCAAGCTTTGAAATCTCTCCTTCACTTCACTTGTCATTTCTTGCATTACTTGTACTTGGAAAGCATATTTTTTGCTGTCTCTGACTTTGTCAGCTATATACTTTTTTTTGTCTAAAGCTCAACTTCTTGGTTTGAGCATGTAATTACAAATGAAGTATAACACTGGAGAGGAAGAGGAGGCAGATTCTGGGTAACCATTGGGCCTGTGGGGTATTTCAAGTTGATTTTAGCTATCATTTATCAGTTACCTGTTAAAAGAGAGAGATTTGGGTTTTTGGAGGAAGTTGTTTGGGGTTTTTGTTTGTTTTTTGGTTTCTTTGCATTGGAAATAATAATTTCAAAACATTAATTTCATGCTCTTAGCTATCATGACTTTTTTTTCGATTGATTGACTTTAGGGGAGAGAGAGACAGACATTGATTTGTTCCACTTACTTATGCATTCATTAGTTGCTTCTTTTATGTACCCTGACCAGGGTTAGAACCCACCAGCTTGGCATATTGGGACAACACTCTAACCAACTAAACTACCCAGCCAGGGCTCTATTTCTTAAATAAAAATTTTAAATCAGTTATTTATTTTGACCCAGAGATTATACATAGAAATTTAATGTGAGATTATACATAGAAATTTAATGTGAGATTATACATAGAAATTTTCAGAAGTTACAGCATATAATCATATTGTATTAAAGTTCTTAGAAAAACAGAATCAATACAATCTGTGTGTACATACATAGAGAAAGACTGATTTTAAGAAATTGGCTCATATAATTGTTGACTAGCAAGTCTGAAATCTGCAAGAATTCCTGAGTAGAGTTGATGTTGCAGTCTGGGTCAGAAGGCATCTGGAGATAAAATTCCTTTCTTCCTTGGGGACCTCATCTGTTCTAGTAAGGCCTTCAGCTGATGGATGAAGCTCACCCACATTATGGGGAGTATTCTGCTTTAGAGTCCTGATTTAAAAGCAGATTGATTTCTTCTAATCTGTTTAGATTTGACTTTTTTCTGAAATGCCAGAATTGGGTTTCTAGGCTGGTGTTTGCCCAAAACGAGTACCATCGCCTAGCCAAGTTGACATAAAATTAACCATCTTGCCTGGGTGGGTGGCTCAGTTGGTATAGCATTCTCCCATATACCAAAAGGTTGTGGGTTTGATTTCTGGTCAGGGCACATACCTAGGTTGCGGTTC